GGGAAAGAGCCCAGAAAAGAGGTGGCTGGGAAACTCCAGGCTCCCACAGGTGACAAGTCCAAAGCGGGGGACCAGGGGGGCTGGAGGCCAGAGGGATGCAGACGGGGCCAGGCTGAGCCAGCAGCTGGGGCTGGATTTACAAGACCTACAAGAAACTTCATATGCAGCAGTAAAGTGCATGCAGCTGCGGCCCCTCCTGTCCCACTCCAGCAGAAGACCCAGGGAAAACACCCTCTTCTCCAAACCGGGCTGCCGGGCCAGCAGTGTCAGGGCACGCAGCCACCTGAGCAGCCAGGAGCTTGCCTGCTCCTGCCTCAGCAGCTGCCTGGGCAGGGAGCCACCCGCCAGCACTTACCGAACAACCCCGCAACTCAGACTGGCTACATAAGTCATCTGCAAAGCTGGGGAGCTGCAACCCCGAGGACAGAAGCCCAAAACAAGCTGCACGTGCCGGACCCAGAGCTGGGCAAAATGCTCAGGGGACAGAGCTGTACCGATGACCCTGTCTAAACCCACTCCTAGCCCCATCCAGCAAACCCAGCTCCTGGATGCACTAACCCTCCTCTTCTCCCCAGCCTTTAAGCTGCAGACAGCCCCCCAGCCACCCTGTGTAGGCAAGAGGCCACCCCGGGCCTCCCTCCGTACGTACTGAGCCGTCATGTCCTTGGGTCCCACGATCGCAATGCAGTTGCCGGCCTCATTGCACTGCTTGCCCACCAGGCTGTGGGCATGCACACGGGGAGGGTCACTGTGCGTCACCAGGTCCACCTCAATCCGGGCCATCCCTGTGTAGTTGCAGATCTGTAGGGAGAAAGGAGATGGGAGTCAGGTACAATATCTCAGGAGCCTGCAGGACTCTCTGCAAACCCCTGCTATCCCTCCGCATGGCCACCACCCCTCCTGCTGCAGCCCTCCCATCCCTCCAGTGCCAGGAGACGTGCAGAGCTTAATATACAGGTCACGTCCTTCCTTCGAGGCACCCTCCCGGTGCTCACACACACCGGCCAAAGACGCTGCCCCATCCCCTTCCCAGGGCAGCACTCACCTTGACGGTGGGATAGGTCTTGCGCCCCTTCTCGCTGGATGCTCCTGGCAGCCCCCCGTGCGAAGGGCCCTCGCAGCCGTACCGAAACCGGAACCCCCGCTGCGGAGGCAAAGAGGGGGTCAGTCAAGGGTGGTCCACACCTGACGCCGTGAAAGCAGGGGGTGACAGCTACACCTGCCCTTACCTGGGTGACGTCCTTACCTGCTTTGGCTGCTCGATGATGACAAGGTAGGGACCTTCCACTGGAGGACAGAGAGGAGAGAAACACAGGATAACCAAAGCACCGCTGAGAAACACAGGATAACCAAAGTGCGTGCTCCCAGTAAGGATGCTGGAGGTACGGGGACGGTGCTGAAGGTGAGGTGACCCCTGCATGTCCCATAGGGGTGCCCAGGGCCCCCAGCCCCTGTGCTGTCAGAGCCCAGCTGGGAGCAGCGGTCAGAGCGGCAGGGAGAGGAGGGAAGGGCTAGAGGATGCTCTGGCACCCGGGGAGCGGGGAGCCCCTGGGGACCCGTCATAATCCAACCTCAGGTCCCTTGTAGACTGAGCAGTGGGGCCAGACCGAACAGTCCCCGTCCCGGTGGCACGGGGCAGGGATTCCCAGCCAGCCCACAGTGGGGGGCCGGCGGACACAGCCAGTGGTGCTGCTGGGAACTACGAGGCATGAGTCAGCCTGCCGGGAAACCCCACTGCAGCCGGGGACCCCCAGGAGGGCACAGCCAGAAGGGCCCTTACCCGTATCCATCAGGGGCTCCTTCTGCTCTATCACGTGGGAGCTGAGATTGAAGTCGTAGTCAAACCCGTCCAGGCACTGGGTGACGGGAGGGAAGATGAGTGTGATGAGTGTGTTGGGGCTGGAACCCCCAACCACCCTGGGGGGCAGGCACAGTCCCCATCTCCCACCCTGGGGGAGGGGGGGCAGTCTGGCACAGACCCCCGTTGCCCACCTTGGCGGGGGAGGGGGCAGGCACAGATCCCCCGTCC